AAAACATGTTGTTTTCTTCATTCTGTCTGTGCTGGAGCATTCTCGGAACCCATCGGCTGTATTTGGCGTCTTACTTCCGGCAGACGGCGATACAGCCTCTGGGGGCAGACCCCTGATTTTTTGGCATTCTGGTTTGATTTGGGCTGAGGAGGCAAATTTCCGTTTCTGACTTCCGTTTATATATAAGTAAATATGCTGAACCATTTCGATGGATTCAGAGTTTGCAGTGACTTCAATTATGTTCCGCCTCGTTAGTTCACCTCAACGACCGTTTAACCTGGCAACAACTGCAGCCAGCTCAAACGTGATTGGTCAATATCACGTGGACTACAAACAGCCTACAACCAGAAACCAGGGCTCTTCCGCTCTTCTTCCGGAGGCAAGATCTCCAGGGTTTGCCTACAGACTCTACATTCACTGAATGTAGAGTCTGTATATAGAGACTACTGCTGGAGTACCTGTATTCACCCTATGTCTGAGAAGACTCTGTTTTAGCATCTGTCTCTTTAGGCTCCCCCTCCTGAAAAACCTTCTCTGATTGGTCAGTGTTTCGAGTGTCTTCCATATCTCTGCACCGTAATTGCAGCAAGGTAATGCATGGAACACATCCTCAGCTGCTGCCCAAAGGCGTTAGGGGATAGGCGATACCGCTGGTGCCACAATCAAATCCTAAAGTCTTTGGCGGATTCCATCTGTCAAGCGGTTCAGTTCAGCAAGACCCAGGCCAGCCCCAAACAATCAATCACCTTCATTAGTGAGGGGCAGAAAGGTAGACATCAGCCTAGCTCTTCAGGAGGACTCCTGGGCCCCGCTCGCGACTGGCAGCTCCAAGTCGACCTAAGAAGGCAGCTTAAGTTCCCTACTAACATTGTAACCACTTTACTCTGCCCAGATTTGGTGTTAACATCAGAGTCTGCTAAGAAAGTGGTTCTACTGGAAGGCCAATGAGCGCAAGAGGGCCAAATATGCAGAGCTCATCACCCAGTGCTGGAGCAACGGCTGGAAAGCCCGCTGCGAGCCAGTCGAAGTTGGGTGCCGAGGCTTTGCTGGACACTCACTCCAGAGAACTTAGAGCGTAAGAGGACTGCAGTTAAGGAGAGCCACCAAGAACATCCTTGAGGCTGCTGAAAAGGCCTCACGGTGGCTGTGGATCTGTGGGGGGGATCGGTGGAGCAACACGCCACTTGTACACGAGTCGGGGACTGATCACCCCCGGCTGGTGTTAATGTTAATTAATGTAATCTTCTTCTACGTAACATTATAAATAAAACAAAAAAATACAAAAAATCAATATAGGTCCCCTTTGAGCAACTACTCAATGATTTGTGTAGGACACTCATTGACAAGATGAGACGTGATGAAAATGTTAGTGATGGATTATCAGAAATTGAAAGCTGAGAATGGCTGTGCTTGCAATTATCTGGCAAATTTGTGTGTGTCGCCGTGTGTGTCTGACTGTGGATGGTGGAGCTGCTGAATGGATTTGTGGAGTTTGTTAGTTGCAGTGGTGGCTGTTAGCAGCTATGCTTGTTAGCCTCTGAATGGCAGTGGAGCAAGCAGACACCAACCGCCAGACTTCACAGCTGATGCCCGCAGGACTCCGCTCAGATCTGGAAAGTCCCAAGAGGGTTTATGGGTTGATGCTGTTAGACAGGCAGGTAGGAGGCTCAGTTATCTGTGAGTATAGCTGTGCTGTAAGTAAACAGTCTGAACTCAGATCAGTTTTCTCTGACAAAGATGAGAGTTTAGTTTTAATCACCAACTCTGTGAGACATGAGGTTAAACCTCTAGACTAAAATGTTGGATAAATTATTTTTCTTTTTGCAAGAGTGAGATGGATACGTCAGTTTGACAATGAACCTGAGTACAAATCGTCGTCGTCTCAGATTAATTATTTGTGGTGTCAAAGTTTTTGAGAGCACAAATAGAGAGATTTTGAGTTTTTTAAGTGTGTGCTCATAAATCACTTAAACCTGTCAAAAACTGCTGGAGAAATGACAGTTTGTGAGTGTGTAGGAATTATTTGTAGCTGTAGAAACAAAATTATCTAAATGAAATTTTTATACAACCTGACACCTTAATACTAATTTCTGATACATGAATAAGCCTGGATTAGTTTAAAGGTAATAAAAAAAACATATAGAAAACATAATGACTAAAATGTCGTGAATTTTTGTCGACTAAAACTATGAAGGACAAAAATGACTAAAATGTAACTGAAACTAATAAGCATTTTCGTCTCAAGACTAAGACTAAATCTAAAATAGATGTCAAAATTAACACTGGTGTTATGCATGCAACCCACTGCAGGAGATTTAAAAACCAGCTGATGGCAGTTAGCAGATGACTCAAGAAAAGCGGACAGCGGACAAAAATATCAGCAAATTGGGAAAAAAAGAGACCCAGGAGCTCCTTACCCTCCAAGCAGAGGATGAGATCAGCCGTCATATAACAGGGACCTCAAATGACTGTTATTACCATGTTATGCCATTGTTATTGTTTATAAAGCGCTGATCGTAGTGTTGTATGTCATACTAGAGTCTAATGCTGTTGTCTTACATAACATACGTCAAGCGTCTTTTGGTTCGGGAACACTGGCATGCTGTCTAAAATCACACAGTGGGGCAGCATTATGTAACTGTTGTTTGGGTCTGTATAAAAAAAAGCAAAGGCGGCATAAAGACAGTACATTGTAGTGGCCCTATCACACAACCTCTATGTAAAAGGGGCTTGAGAGATGAAACCCTGGTAATAAAAAATATTCCCACAACATGCTGCTGCTCATGGAGTGTACTGTGAGTGCCCAGTAGCATTAAAAGCCAACCTAGATGTAAGTGCCTTTTTTGAAACACAGGCAACAGAGTTTGAAAGTCACAGTCAGTTTGGTCACATTAGGAGATGGCGTGCAGAATCCGTCACCACAGAATCAATGTAGATCGTAAAGCAGATATGTTAATGCACCTCCCTCCACTAAATGAAGAGAGACTGGAACTAATGGCTGAATTTTGGAGAGACGATTTTCCCTGCAGCGCCACACCACTAGAGATGTGTTGATTCATGTCAGTAAAAGTAAGAAAGGCCAGTCAGTTCATTAATGGAACAGATTTTAAACTCTGGTTTTGTTCACTGTCCACGGTTGTACTGAGTTGTTAATGACTTAAACGCTGGCTCTGAACAAATGGGTTTAACCAACCACAGCTGACACAAACTCTCTACAGACTATGGACTTCTACAAATATCAAAAGAAAAGTTCAACATTTAATCTGCTGAAATAAGCTTATCTGCTTCCTGGCAGGGAGTTAGATGAGGAGACTGACCCCACACTCACATTTGTCTGTTAAATAAAAACTATAGCAAACAACTTAGCTTAGCACAAATACTGAAACTGGAGAAACAGCTGGCCTTAATCTGTCCAATGATAGCATAATTCACCTACCAGCACCTCTAAAGCTCACTAATTAACACTTGTTAGTTTCATTCATAGAAAAAATGTAAAGACATTAATTGGTTGTTGTACAGTGGGTTATGTGCCAGGGGATTTCTTGGCTGAATGCAACTTTCTTGAGTCACACATGGCAGCCGGCAGTACTTAGTGTTAGTATTAGGACAATCCTTTGTTTGCCCTGCATTATGACTGGGCCATGGACTCAACATTAGAGGGGGGGCAAATCTGTTGGGGGGTTGGTCCCCACCCTTGGCCCCAGAAAAATTTCAACATTTTAAAACTAATTTCCTATTATATTATTTGTAATAAGCAAGCACAGCTATACAATATCCTGTATTAGTATACAGCTAATAACAGCTACCAACTGTCTACACACAAGTCAAAGACACATGCAATGCAACATAAATGATTAACACTTTTGCTCAGACTTCATGAGGGCTACCTGACAAATATTACACAATAAAGACATTACCATTAGTTGAATCTGCCTGTCTGCCAGCTAACTAACTATTGTTGGTTGTTGGATGAATGCGTGGCTAATAAACTGCAAGTTATGTTGCTATGATAGCTAACATTAGTAATGATTGATTGATTAGCACTCACAAATTGGTACAGTGTTACAATGGTAAGTGTGACTATCATCAGTTGAGCACTGATGATAATCAAGCACTGAAATGTTTGCTGCTGTTCTTACTCACTCTTTATTTTTTGCACTTTGAGCACCTTTTTGTGCACAGATGTCCTAATAAATAGACTATTTTTGCATTGATCTCAGCCTGTGGACCTTTTTGTGGCTTTCTAGCCCAGTTACACTGGTTTGAGGGTATCTCTTCTGCTGTCCTTTTGTGTTTGTCTATTGTACCGATGCAAGAAAACCTTTTTTTGTTGCCTAAAGTAGACACAGTTTCACAGTAACCAAAGACAATAATAAGTTTCCCATCAACAAATGATAGGAACATTAAAGGGTCATAACTTTATGCAAAACTAACAAGTGGAATGTATCAGCTGTTTGCGAGCTGATGCACAGAATGTACACCAGTGGTCGCTAGTTTACCTTCTGACAGAAATTTAGCATAACATTGCGAGATGATCACAATATGTAAAATTAGCCTTTTCATAACACTTAACAAAAAGTACTGAAATAGAGAGACAGTGTAGTGTTTGACATACCTACCCACAGCAGTCAAGCTATTTTTTTTTTTGCCATTGCAATTCAAATATCAGTATACTTTATGTCATATACTGCTACAAAGAAAGTGCTGATTTCCCTTTTTTGGCTGCCCACTAATTGTTGTTTGCTTGTCCACATGTAGTGCTCATCTTGTCCCTAATTATGTGTATCAGACTGACCACTTGAATTATGTTGTCATGAACACAGACACACAAGGTGCTATGTGTTGGGATCTCTCCTTTTTATCTCGTCTTCCTTTGACTGCATTTCTTGTATTATTGTATAACTGTCAAAAAGAAGACAACGTGATGTTCGACAGTGGAAATGTTTTCTAGGACATCACCAATGTCAGGGTCTGTGTGGTTGTGAGCAGCAGGGACTGACCGGTTTGACAGGTGCCGGTGGAGGTGGAGTTGGAGCAGGGACATGGTGCACAGGCTTCGGTCAGGGCAGTTCCCGGGCTGCGGTAGAAACCAGGCTTACACTCCTCACAGTTGAATCCCTGGGTGTTGCCCTCACAGTTCAGACACACTCCTGGAGGACAGAGCAAAGGTCAGATGATTAGAGAGGTATTTCCCGGATCTGTACACTTCCATCAAAACAAAAAGTGAGCTAAGCTTCCTTTTTTTTTTGCAAACTCATTCCAACGGTGCTGCTAATAGCTTTTAGTTTAAGATAATATTAAGCTGCTATCAACTGAATTTCACCATATTATACCAGAAATATTACAAAGTTGCATGAGTTCAATGTTCCATGAGAACTGCAATAATATCATAGTACTAAATCCTCTATGTGGCATGGTATTCACCACCTTCACCTCATCAAGTTTTTTTTGTACACGTTGCTGTCTTTTAATTACCTGACACAGGAAAACTGTCTGAAGATAAGGGTTCTCCAAGGAAGTATTGATATAGAAGTACAAAGAAACGTGAACATGTGATCAACCAAATCACATCATATCCATAACATCAGAGGACAATCATAATCAGTGGACCAGATCAGCTTTTTGAAGAAGGCTAATTCATGATCAAAAGGTTTTTGTGTACTCCCTGAACGCTCATCATTTCCTTCTCATTTTATTTCTATGGAAATTAAATCAGAGGGTATAATAATTACCATGTGTTTCACTTGATTATTATTATAATACTTTTTATTTAATAAAGAAATCACATTGTGACTTTTACTAAAAGAGGCCAGAGTAAAGCGGCTACCCTGCTATTGCTAGCCAGTTGTTTACAGTCCTGTAACATCATCCTCACCAATGGTAGTCATCATGTTTGCCAGCGACTGTATTTTAGACAGTATTAGAATATAATACGGTCAGGATTTCTAAATATCTTGGTATACCGTAGTACCATGATACCGCCCAAGTCTAGTTCTATGGATACCTCGAGTCTCGCCTATACTTGAGAAGGTTTGTTCCCAGTAAATGTGTCTTTACTTACAATCAATGTACTCCATATTAAAGCTGTGTATTTGTCTTTTTAAGGTAAGGACAACTAACCTAAGTGAAGAGCAATGAATCGCCTAACATGTACAGATACATAAGACATAAAAACAGAATTGTTGTTGAACTCAAACATTAACTGTACCAGTATTTGTCTATGCACATCAGATAATTAGCAATGTTGTAAAAGAAGAAAACAAAGTATATCATTATGTGATTCCTTAATTCTCCATATTGACATAATTTTCAACTAGATAATATACCTCAACAGCATAATCAAATTTCTAAAATTCAGTTATGGCTTTTGGTTTTGGTGTGCCACTCCAAGATTTTCAGTGGCCCTACCTGGCCACCACTAGGAAACATTTCTGGACTGAACTTATCTGTTGAGACTGCACCTCGACCCATAAAGAAAAAAAAATTTCTGGGTTGTACTCATTTGGTTAAATTCACTTTTTGTAAGTTGCTTTGCATAAAATCATAAGACTTGTTTTATGTACAGTACCAGTCAAACGCTTGGACACACTTTTTCATTCAAGTAAATGGTAAAGTGTGTTCAAACTTTTGACTGGTACTATATATCTAAGTTTATATGTTTGTTTTTTATTTGCTTACATAAAAAACATTATATTCCCACAACAAAGCCATTAATTGTTATTACTGTAAATATTTGCATAGGTTAGTTACCACTATCCTGCTGTATATAGAGTCTCTGTCTGTGATGCCTCCATGATCATACATAGGTTATGTATACATGACTAAACCTGTCCACAGGCTGCCTAGCTTGCTACATCTTTGTATCCCAACAGTAGTTTCAACCACCAACTATGGAAGAGTCTACAGGCTCAGCTTTCGACCATGCATTAACCCAGTGTCAACAGAGGGGTTACCAATCAGCTGACGAGTCACTCCATCAAACCCCATAGTACATATCACAGGTTCCATAGATGGTTGAAGAGGGTTTGACCTGGTTCCTTACACCAAATTGTGGATCAGTGATGAGTAATAATAGCTTTCACACTTTTTTTGTTGATAAATTATGGATTTTATAAGTGAACTGAGACTAAATGAAAGCTTACACTTATTATGATTAAGTGAAGCAACATGGATGTAATGCATCACCAACACCCCAGTTTTATAGAGCAGGATTTAAACATGTGCACTTACATTCAGAGGTGAATATCAAAATGTAAAAGTGTGTTTTTGTGGAAATAAAGATCTTAATGATAAACTGAAATATTCTTTTTTTTCAGTGTACATTTCTGTGGCATTGTCTCAGTGATGGGGACAACCTGCCTCTGCCCTGCAGAAAATGAGGAGCTCTTGTTATGTTTATCTTAACTCCACAGTGTTTGGGATACTGTATAATTTGCATTTGCACAATGTGTTGTTGTGTAAGCGGCCCCGGGGAGAGGCCAGGGTCAGTCTTAAAAGGGAGCTGTCAAACCTGAGCTATGTTAATCCACAGCACTATGAACACTGAGCCCAGGCAGGGCTACAACACTCCATCTGGCCTTGCATTTTAATGGCAAGACATGTGGCTTCTGAAACAGCCCTCCACCTTCCCCCCTGCCTGTCACTCCCCTGACTGCTGGGAGTGAGCAGCAATTCTCCTTTACATGTGATCAAGGATACAGAAGAGTATAAATCCACCTTAAATCGCACAAATCATACTATAAACTTGATTTGTGATATTCCACGTTCTCAAGTTCCTCCTCACCAACTGAATATTACACTTCTGTTGTGGTTCTGCAGTAAATATTTACTTCAGACAAACTGGAGACTTTGTGTACTGCCAACGTCTCTGAAGTAAACACAGCAGATTATCTTTAGTACCAAGGTTTTAACTTGCACAGAGCTCAAGAGGTACATTTATGGGGAACTTATTGAGCATTCCAGTGGCAAAGATCAGACTGTTAAGCTTCAGCTTTCTCATGCAGAGTCCATTTGCATGCTGAAAGGACCAGACACAGCTGCTCCTTTCATTACAGGCACCAATAGATTAGCATTGACATTGTTTGGGTCTTAGAGGGGAAATGTGGGCTATTGAAAAATCAAACTGATTTCTGGTCTCTGAATGGCACAGATCTAGTTGGATAATTGTCACAGTCTAAAGAGTGTCATTGAAAGAGCACATAGTGACATTACATTCATTGTATGCATTATTGAAGCATTAACATTTAAGTGGAGCTAATTATAACAACTTTATATATTACTGGACAGTTTAATCTATATTAATGTGTATCATTTTAGATACAGATCATGTTTTGTGCGAAAATCTGCAAAGGCACTTGTAACTACAGCTGTCAAATAAATGTAGAGGAGCAACACGCACAATACTGCTGTCTCAAATGTGATTGAGTAGAAGTATAAAGAAGCTCAAAATAAAAAATATTCATGTACAAGTACCTATCAATTGTACTGCACCTAGTAACTTTTCACCACTTATCTTAGGTGTGATCTCCCTGGGTGAATTTGAACCCCGAATCTCCTGTGTTTTAAACAGGTGCTCTAATCAACAAAGCCACAGGGCCTCAGTGACATCTGACAATGACTATCCTAAATACTAAAATAAGTGTTTGTGTCAAACAAATTGTAAAGCTTGGTTTGGCTGACTCAAATTGAAGGTAAAGTAGCCTATGTTTTGGGGGGCCGGGCCTATGAAAAACCCTGCTGCAGCATTATGTTTTTATTTATTTATTTATTTATTGACAATAATCCTGTAACCTATATTATGAAAAAAACATTTTGAAAAAAGTCAATGCATCAAAGGTGACCGACACTAACTCGCCCCAGTATTATTTCTTATTTAAGAAGTATTTCACTGCTGGAAAGATGGTCTTTTCATAGAACAAGTCTGTCTATACAGCAGAAAGACACAAATATTTTTGAAATTGGTGCTACATGACCACAGTAAATGGGGGAAAGTACTATGGCATTCACTTTTCACAGAGGTAGAAAACCTACAACTACCAAAGTGCATTGTGCTTCACCAGACCAATAAATGCTCCCGCTGGTGGGTGATGTATTGTGAGTTCCTCATCCAAAAAACAATATGGCCGCCGGCTGGTGATAAATATCTTACATTACAGTTAAACAGTGAGCCAAAATATGTTTCTGAAAACAACTGAGGCAAGATAGAGACAAAGCAATAGTAGAATCTCAGTAGTAGAATCTCATCTTATTTTTTCAGCCTCAATGTTTACACCACAGGAAACAGTAAGGTCACCAATTCCTGTTCACAAACTCTCTTATCACAGATGAACAGTGCACCAAAATATGTTTCTGAATACATTTTAGGTGAGAAATATGCAACGCACTAACAGAATATTGGTTTATATTTGATCAGCACTACTTAGTTTTACTGTTCGATCTGAGATAGGGGGAACCAAGAGAGAGAAAGAGACAGAGCGAAGGGTGTGTTTCTTTCTCTTGACCCACTACTCTTAGTGTTCTAATAAGGAAGTAGAATCTGTAGTTTGAGCAACATTCCGAGAGCCAGTGAATCCGTGGGATTTTCACTGGCAAATGAACAGGGAGATTTGGATGATGGCAAGCTGGACAGAAGTTTACCATAGTTCATTTACACATACTATGCACACTGTTATAATACAAAGTTGGTTAAATAGTTTCCCTTTAAGAGAGAAACAGCAGCCAGTCTGTTACATCAGCATTGATACAGTGCATGAGTCTAACACCAACATGTCCTGTGTTCTCAGCACACTTACCGGACTGTGGATGGCAGTAGTTGGTGTGGTTCTGACACTGGCAGGGCTGGCAACCAGTGCTGCTGAAGCGGAAGAAACCTGGGTGGCATTCATCACACTTTGGTCCATACACTCCTGTCTTGCACACACAAATCCCTGAGCTGAAAGAGGCAGAACAGGAGACAGCTTAGTGGACAAAAACCAATCCCAGACAACACTTCATTTAATGCAGCACAGCACCAAGCCAAAGACGTGACAGGAGCTGAGTGTGATTGCTTTTTGAATTGCAGTAATGGCAGCTGATGTCCAGACTGTTGAGGTGACTCTCCACTTGACTCCCTGCAGGTTCTCCCATTCACCCATCTGCCTTCTCTAACTCTGTTCCAGGTATGAAGCATGTGGGAAGCACCCTGCATCACATACAGTTCTCGGCCATGTGAACATATTAGGCGTGCTGCGCAGGGCAGTGCTGAAGACTGGCATCCAGCACCACACTGCATAAAACCTGTTTTCCCCTTTGTATTTCTTTAATATGTCATATTGTCTGTGCCTCATCACAATTGTAACTATAAGCAATCTGTGGAAGTGTTTCTATAGCAATGATAGCTGACTGACACTGAAAATACTCCCTGTCTCCCTGTCACATGTCACATTAGTGGCTCCGGTGATTTCAACACACAACAGTCGTACGAAAAGTGAAGAGTGCTATGGTAGTATTTCTCTGATCAGTGCAGCCATGGAGTGATCTGTATGGGTAAGGGGGAGCTGAGTGCGCTGAAGATGAGCAGAGCTTTTGTCTTGCTTTCATGCCAGTCATTCATGTGTTTGTGTTCCTGTTTATGGAGTGTTTTTAGTGATCTGCCTAAACTGTTAGTGTTGTGACTTAACTGCTGAACTGCATTTTTGTCAGTTACCAAACAGGTTCAGGTGCATTTCCACCCACGACATATGAGACACTTGAAATAAGTTCAAAGTACAAATGGGGCCACAGCCCCTTTATTCTAATACATAATAAAGATCATTCTCAATTTAAATGGCTTGAACGTGTGTGTTGCCTTCTGTGCAACAAATTCCAACACATCACAGGCCCTTTTTACACCTGGTATTAACATGTGTCTTGGATGATCGGGTCACAGGTGGACGGCTCTAAGTACGGGTGTGAATGCACACAGTGTCTCCTCAATACATCTTGAGATCCAATCGCTCAGATCACATTCTGAGGAAGTTGTGAGATGGTGACTGTATTTGGACGAGAGGTTGGAGCTGCAGAGGAACGAGGGATGGATCTGACTCATAGACTGTGGCATCGCCTCATAGACAGCCTGCCACTTGAAGCGGCCCCACCCTTAAAGATGTGAAACTTTATGCCTAATAATATGGAAATTGGTAAGTAATATAAAAATCCACCTCTTGTACAGTTGTCATGTACAGGGAAATTAGCTATAGAGACCAAAACTGTTTTTTTGTCCCAGGCTGTAAACATGTTTATTTCTGCTGTAAAGTGGGCACTTTAACATGGGGGTCTGTGGGGACTGACTGGCTTTAGGAGCCAGTCTCAGGTGGCTAATGTAGGAACTGTAGTTTTTGGCACTTCCATGTTGGCTTCCTTTGTATGCCCCAGAGGTTGCCACTTGCTAAAACAGTTCGACTTGTCGATGACTCTTAGATAACATTAACCATGTAATGCTAACACTTAAGCCTGATTTATGGTCCTGCGTTAAATCAACGATGTCGCTACGTCGTAGGGTATGTGGCTACGCAGAAGGCTCGCCGTAGCCCCCAGCGTAGCCTGACGTGTACCTCCCCAAAAATGTAACTACACATCGAGGCAATGCAGACCCAGCACAGACCGAGAGGGCTGTGATTGGTTTGCTTGGTAGCAACGCACTTCCGGTTCCGTATTTCCAGATTGCGCCATCCCTGCCATCTTTAAACATCTTCTGTTGCGATGTAGATGTTGCAGTATTAAGGCCCATTTATGCTCAACGTTCAATACGGATACGGATACGGATAGAGCCGTCTGTCCGTGCTCCGCGTTCATTTCTCTGTGACCGGAAAAGCCGGAAGCTAAACAAAGAATCAACTAGAGAAGACGATAACCATTCAGGAAAGGAACACAGCCTCCTACCGCTCTGGCGGTGAATTGCACCACGACGAAATGGAGTGACGGAGAAGTTCGAAGGGTTCACGACAGCGTCACATCAACGACGTAGGTACGTTGGAAGTACGCCGCAGGACCATAAATCAGGCTCTAGCCCTGTCACTGTGTGTGTGCAGACAGGCTCTCAACAACTATCTGTTTCTGGCTCAAAGCTCACACTCCTGCAGTAGTAGTTTCCTATTGCAGGGGAGGTTGCAGGACCAAGGGTTGTGCAGAAGGGCCTGAGCATATCTGTGTGTAGCTTTAAAATGAAAAAAGATTTTAGCCATTTTATATATGAATGGCTATAAGTGTGTGTACTGCATGACAAATCTCCAACCAGTTAAAGGCAATAATGAATTTGGTCTTTACAAATGGAAATGATACAGGTGTTTATTAACGTATAGAACAGGTCAGTGAGATCTGCTCACAAGTGGTCACTCGAGACGCATGTGGAGATGCATTTTAATGCCAGATGTGAACACCATGAGATAGAGCTGTCTACTTGTGGTCAAATCACTCATGATGCATGCTAATACCCCATTTGACAGGATCACAAAGACAGTTATGTGACAATATAATAATTAAGGTATGAGAGGTGACACTGACAGGGTGAGTTGGGTGAGATGGTTAGTTCTGCATAGGACTCCAAAAAGGTTTAGACCAGCTCCATTTTATTAACAGAACTAGAGCTAGACTGATAAATTCGCCATGCCGATATATGGGCCAAAAAGAGCATATTGCATATGTCGGTGTTGATGTATATATCAGTTAAGTTACAAGAATGTGCAGTACAAAAATTACGAAGAAAGTTTTAGATAAATCAGAAAAAATGCCACTATTACATACATAAACCACAGCAGAGCACTGATAAGTTGATTTTTACCCTGTAAAAATGCCTTGTGGTTTTAAACCTCCGTGCACCAGTCAAGTTGCACTTACAGTTTACATCCATGTCTGTGCAAACATGGATGCTTCACACACATCTTCCCCCCGGCAGCACAGAAGATCTATACAATCCACACACTCTTTGGTTTTGTCTTACCTAGAGCACTTTCCTGTAATCTGGTCTTCAGCATCAAAATCCAATCTGAAAAAGCTGCAGATTTCCCATAATAAAGCAGCTCATCTGGCAGCTACATGTATGCACACCTGGCTTGGCTGGTGGTTGAATAAAAAATGTCCTTATGTCTCCTGATGTTACTGTGGAGTGTCATTACTACCAACAAACTGTCCAGTTTGGCTAATCAGATACACATGGCCTCTGAACATGGTTACAGTACAAGAGGTGCAGCCTCTGGTCACAAAATGCTCCCGGCACCCAGATTTTCGGTGGATTTTCGTAAATCCACCGTTACATACAGGTCAATAGCATCTGGCATTCTCAGCCTACTGATATGATATCTAATGTCAATGACAAAACTACCTTTAATAACAACATAAACAACATAGACAGATAAAAAAAAAACACTGGTTCAACATCACGGTTTGTTTTGTGTTTATATCTAAAAATAATAATAGTTGAAATACTGTTTTTAAATTCATGACACTCCCAAATATCAATATCAGTATCTCCCTCAAAACTCCAGTATGAGTGGGGCTATAAATAGAACAAGATACAAGACGTCAGAGTATTGAGCATAAAAGCCTTTTGTTGGCTTTATTGTTTGACATAACAGTAGAATTGTTCTGAGCTGAGAAAATCTCCTCCTCTTGACTCTGAGAATGCTCCAGCAGAGTCAAATCCAATTACATTTGAGCTCTCCAGCAATAATACACTCATAAATAACTAATTTCATTTGTTAATATGTCTTTCAAAGGTTGGATCTGCACTCCAGCAGTCCTGTGTATCTGACTGTTAAACACAACAGCTCATTTATACATGAGGGAATAGAGAGAGGCAGTGAGAGGCTTCATTTCTTCCCATAGAGAAATCTCCATTGCTCTCTGATTCCACCCACACTCAAGGTAAATTCTTATAAGTACAATGCTAAATCGAGCCTGTTCAACCCTCCAACACAGACAATGGACTCAGAAACATAATCTGGGGACAATAACTTCAAAACAATTGAAGTAAATCAAGAGTGACTGGGAGCACTTTCCATGAGCGTGTGCGTGGGTCTTTATACAATCCGGGCTTTGTTAAAACAACTGCACTTAATGCAAATGAAGAGGCCCACAGTGATGCTTAGTGGGGCGTGGGCACTGCTAGGGGACAAGGCTGGGAAATCAACAGTCCTCATTTGTCCAGCTAAACACACACACACATGCAACAATGACAAACATATCCACATGCAGCATCATGACCCACAGTCAGAGAGATAATGTCCAAGTGTCACAGAGAAAGTGAGTAAAAACTCCACTCAGTCCCTGCAAAGTGCTTCATTTCACCAGGTGAAATTCAGTGAAGTGCAACTGCAGATGACTGCTTCCTCGAAAGTTAACATTTAGCAGTGAAAGTCTTGAGATCAGGGACACACTGTTGACAGATCCCTGTTGGATTTTTTTCAGCCCAGTCAGCAAAAGAAAATGTTTGTATTTTTTTTTTCAAACCACAAATACATTCCATTTGCATGTTTCATATGTATCATATCAATGTTTCTACAGTGACATAAAAGCTGACTTTGCCATCAGGAGGTGGAGGGGAAGGTGGATAGTGTGTCACTTTGACAATACACCTGCCAAGCTGCAGACCCCTGTTTGAAACCAACAAACAACAAAACCAGTTGTGATTTAGCGAGTTATTGCTGTGTTTCCTGTGGCTTTTTAGACATCAAACATGGCTGTCATTGTTTTTCCCGCTGAAATTGACTGGTTCATAGAGGCATACTACTGCAAAGCGGTAATTCTAGTTTTATATGTTTTGGCAAATATTTAGTGTAGAAACTAGCAAAAGTTTTAATTTGTTTGTGAACTCCACTTTATCTTCTGCACTCCACTGTGCTGGTTTTGCACATTAAAATACCACTACCTTTTGCACTACCCTCATTCCCACTGTAAACCAAAGCCTCACACTATAAA